CCATGCTGCTCCTGTGCCGGTCAGCATCCTTGTTAGTCTCGATGATCGAGGCAGCTTTGCAATGATTCAGGATACTATTTAGTATCTCTAGGAATCGCCTTGAGCAATTTAACTTCGCTTTGGCGAGGCCTTATATCTCCCGCCGGACGAATCTATAATACAGGTTGTCGCGCCAGCTCTCTGAAGCTGAGTCGCAGTACTTGCGATTCGCGGTCCGCGAGCGTTCGCGAGAAAATTGGCGCATGCTGGATTCTATACTGTAAGCGCCTATATATTGAGTTGCCTGTGCTAGTGTTTGCAGCCATCACATAATATATTTTGGGTAAAATTTTGGTTATTTTCACAAAAGAATGGCACGCTCACTCATGCTTGGCGCCTAATTGCGCGATATTGCAACTGAAAACTGTATAAATATCGAAATATTTTCTGTTAATTTTGAGTTTAAAATAAATTATTAGTGAAAATTTTAAAGAATATTAATCGTGAACGCACAACGAAGTTATACCACACTCGTGAGTGCGATGAGAAATATTTCGAAAATATTTTATGTATCCTTTATTTCAGAAAACATGTTAAAGTTTATTCTATGAAAGTTTCAAAGAAAAATATTCATATTTAGCTGAGATATAACGAGTTGAATATAAAAATATGAAATTGAATAAATATATTTTTTATTTTACTTTTTTGTTTACTTTTTTACAACTTGAAAACAAAAATTGCCAATTTAGTCAAAACACAAAAAAGATGCGCTATAAAATTTTTTACAAGAATCATCAAAATTGAAAAAATTAGAGTGATGTCCAAAATTAGCCTTGCTGACAATATTTACCGCGAAATCTACGTGTATCCCGTATAATGTATATTATTATAACGTATATTATTATAACGTACATTAAAGAATTATAACGTATATTATAGAATATTATAGAATTCAGCCCTTCAATTAAGAATCTATCAATAATGATAGCTGTTCAATAGAAATATGACGATTTAATAAGTATGTTCGATAGCTATTCAATAATAGTTTAATAATGGTTCGATACTTAGGAGCGCTCGTGTTATTTGGCTATTTGTAATATTGTTTAAAATTATTATAATTAGTTGCTAAATTGATAAATATCCTGTTCAAGAGTGTTTCCTCCAATGACCACGATCTTGATATACTGTCAAGATGATGACTCTGAATAATTTTCAAGATTTTAGCCATCGCTCGTTTCTCGTTAAAAGATTATTAAGAAGGAAAATTTGAAAAATGATGTCTTTTTTCACTATATATTGGGAATACAAATTAGTTCGGTCCGTTTTTTTGTGTTCAAAAATGCATTTATTTCAAAACAAAATGAATGAACAGTTCTCAGGCAATTTTCGAATTGCATCTCGAAAAAATGACTCGTCTTTGGAAGCGATCCAATTTTGAAGCCAATTTTCGATTTCTGCGAAAGAAGTGAACCGGACTTGCTACATCCTTCGGAACAACCAGTAATCAGAAGGAGCAATGTCCGGAGAATACGACGGGTGCGGTAAAACATCCCATTTGACCGTTTCTAAATATTTTTTTACGATTTTAACGACATGAGGCTGAGCGTTGTCATGAAGAAGAATAACTTTATCATGTCTTTCTATTCCGGCCGTTTTTCTCGCAATGCACGGCTCAAATGAATCAATTGTAGCCGATACCGATAATGGAATTGCCAGGTTTCAGCAGCGCATACTAAACAAGACCCTTTTGGGGGATATTCCATCAGATACAGAGCATGATTCTTCGAACCATGAATGTTCGGTCATGGTGTTGATGTTGAGGTCGATGGCAACGATTGACCGGATTTAGTGTAGTATTTTTTTTTCTTGGGGTTGTCGTAGAATATCCACTTCTCATCTCCAGTCACAAACCGATGCAAAAAACTTTTTCTCTGTTGTCTTTGAATCAGCTGTTCGCAAGTGAAAAATCGCCTTTCAATGTCTCTCGGTTTCAGTTCATAAGGCACCCAATTTCCTTGTTTTTGAATCATTCCCATGGCTCTCCATCGTACAGGAACGGCTTGTTGAGTTACCTCCAATGATTCTGCAAGCTCCTCTTGCGTTTGACTCTGATCTTCTTCGAGTAATGCCTCTAATTCTTTGTCTTCGAATTTTTTTGGCTGTCCAGAACGAGGCTTGTCTTCAACGTTGAAATCTCCATCCTTGAAACGTCGAAACCATTCCCTACATGATTTATCAGTTGGAGTAGTGTCACTATAAACTTCGACAAGCATTCGATGGGCTTCAGCCGCACTTTTCTTCCAATTAAAATAGAAAATCAAAACCTTCCGCAAATGTTGCTTGGTTAATACAAAATTCGACATTTCAAACACAGTAAAAATCAAGGTTTTATATGAAATTCAAAGCGATATAAACTGAATATTATTAGTAGATGTTTAACCTCTCTGAAACCGCCAAAATCAGCTGTCACTATGAACCATTCACAACAGCTGGAGCCATCTTTAGGGAAACGGACCGAACTGATTTGTATTCCCAATAGAACAAAATTTCCTGTTTTAAAATATATTTTATGACTGTCCATGCGAAGCGACTCTCACCATCTTCCTCCCTGCTTAAAGACGCTTCTCATCTTCCTCCCTGCTTAAAGACGCACTTCCATGCGAAGCGATTCCCACCCCACCTCTCCTTTGTTGAGAGGCGCACCGTTTGCACTTTCACGTGAAAAATCATTACATAAGCAAACGAAGGATATAGAATAGTTTATAACATTATATTAGGTGTACAACTTTGCTTCCGCCATTTTTTTCCGAAATTCGAGGCTTTATTGTAAAAAACTGGTTATACATTTATGATTCAAAGTATTGTCCATCGCTGGCCACTACTTTCTCCCATCTTTCGGGTAGCGTACGAATCCCGCGTCGAAAAAACTGGTCATCTTTTGAGGCTATCCAATTGAGGCAAACAACGAATCGATCCAATTTTTTACTTCTTCATAAGACCGGAAGTGCTGATCAGCCAGGCCGTGTGCCATTGATCGAAGTGATAGTCAGAGCAACGTCTGGAGAATACGGCGGGTGGGGTAGGACTTCCCATTTCAACGTTTCCAAGTATGTCTTGCCCACTTTCGCAACATGGGCATCGAGCATTGTCATGCTGCAAAATCACTTTATCGTGTCTCTCGTTGTATTGCGGCCGTTTGTCTTTCAATGCTCAGCTCAAACGCATCAATTGCGTTCGATATCGATCGCCTGTGATTGTTTCAGTCGGTTTTAATAGTTCATAATACACTACGCCGAGCTGGTCCCACCAAATACAGAGGATGATCTTGGAGCCGTGAATATTCGGTTTGGCCGTCGACATGAAAGCATGGCCGGGAATTCCCCATGATTTTCTGCGCTTGGGATTATCGTAATGAATCCATTTTTCGTCCCCAGTCACAATGCGATGCAGAAATCCCTTCCATCTTTGCCTTTCAAGCAGCTGTTCACAAGCAAACAAACGCCGTTCAACATCTCTCGGCTTCAATTCGTACGGCACCCATTTTCCTTGCTTCTGAATCATTCCCATGGCTTTGGGGCGTTTTGAAATGGCTTGTTGAGTCACTCCCAATGATCGTGCTAATTCTTCTTGATTTTGACACGAGTCTTGCTCAAGTAATGCCTCCAATTCTGTATCTTCGAAAATTTCTCTCTTCCACCGCTATGCCGGACTTCGACGTCAAAATCACCGTTCTTGAAGCGTTGAAACCACTCACGACACGTTCTTTCACTAATAGTGGCCTCACCATAAGTATTTGAGAGCATTCGATGAGCCGCAGCCGCAGATTTCTTCATATTGAAGCAAAAAATTAAAACCTCCCGCAAAAGACGAGAATTTGGCTCGTAAACTGACATTTTCAATCGAGAATAACTTTATGATGCAGACACAAATCGACTAATGTTTCTATGGGATTATGTTGACAGATGCCCAAGTTTATTGTATGACGTCTATGATCTATTTATTTCGACCACCACTTACCGCTAAAGCCATCTATAGGAAAACGGCGGAAGCAAAGTTGTACACCTAATATACAGGTGAAATTAAAGGTTATTTTTCAAACTTTTTTGTTAATAACTTTTTAACAAGTAACTACAACTTGTAGGAAATCATGACTTTGACAACATATGTCAAGGTCATTGGAGAGGGCTTTCCTAAACAGGATATTTACCGTTAAATTAAAATAAATGCTAAGTCAAAAAAAAATCATACAATAAATATCATTTATTTCATAAAATCGCATATGAAAAGAAAAGATAAGAACATAGAGAATACAACAGAAAGTAGAGAGAGAACGTGAATAAAATGATAAGTATAGGATCGCAATGGGTAAAAGAAAGAAAGAACAAAACTTCTTCCCTCTCTTCCGTGACGCTCTTCCCTTTTGTCCTTCGGATCCAGCGTCTGTGATTGGTCTGTGATGCACTTCCTCTTCCCTGACCCTGCACATAAATATATATTGTATGTACCGCATATACAATATATATATATATATATATATATATATATATATATGCATTAATACATAGGTTCTCCTTGTTTTCCTACTAAATACAATTTATAAAGAAAAACGAATGTCTTTATATAGTAACATTTAAATATAATGATTAACTATTTCGATTTAATTAAAATTTTTTATGAAATAAATTTTATTTTTATTTTTATTTTACACATAGTTTTTAAATTTTTCTGTAACTGTATTTTTTTTAAGATATATATACACTAATGTGTGATAATACAATTAATTACTCAGTTGAATAAATTTTTAAAAGTATCAATTATGTTTACATATCAATATTTCATATTGATTATATTCGTATAGCTATTATTTTTTAAATGTACGCAGATATATTACATTCAATAAATAAGTAAACTATTCTTACATATAGATATATTTAATAAATAAGTAAACTTTTCTTAACTTACATAACAAGCATTTTATTAAAGAATATCAAAATGAATAAAATATAAAATTACTTCTTTAGTTGTCCGTGGTGTTAAGAAAAACCTTCTTCACACGCTGGCTGCATGTACGACTGACAAGTGCCAACGGGTTCTGCACGATTACAAAGTGAATCAAATGTCAGTACAGGTGGACTTCGATAAGGTAAACAGACTCAAGTTATTTCTTATCGTAAATTACCTTAACTAATTACAGTTAATTACGAGTATTTCCTTGTTTACACGCAGTACATGGACCGTTACTTTCCAAAGGTATGATTTTACAATAAAAGAAAACCTTTTGCAATGTAATGAAATTTAATAAAAATGCTTTCGGACCTCGATGTATAAAAGAATATTTGAAGAGGAAATGAGATTTTGTTAGCAACCTCGGCATCATTGATTTTAAGGAAATATTATCTCGAGGTCTCTAAGTGCATTGAAAACAGTGGTTGTTAATGTATTGAAACGGTAGATTTGTATAAAGCTTGCCTCGGTTTTCGTTTGCTCATAATAAGGCTTCTTAAAATAAAATCACTAATGTCTCGAATCTTATCGAAGCGATTAAATCTAATAATCTTTTTCGCTTCACCATTTTTATATTATTAGTATCATTAAATATTTAGATTAATTAATCACAAAAAAATAAAAATATAATGCATGACATATCAGTGCAATAAATTCAGATACATTTTAATATATTCTAGACCAATTATCGCTTTAATGTAATTTATTGCAAAATCTTCATTAATCTTCATAATTATCGAATATTATAGTTACTGATACATTGTGTGATCATTAGTGTGCGAAGGACAGATACTGTATAAATTTATTTGATTCCATGCTTGCCACAAATAGCTTCTAGCATCTGTAAGTTGTAAAGCAAAAGCATGCAGTTTTTTCTTACTCATATGTATTTATATTGTTTTACATATTGTAGATATATTTATTTTCATTAATCGATTATTTTTGCAAAATATTATAAGTTGCACGAGTAAAAAATATTTGCTAGATATATGTATACATTAAGTATATTGAATTTTTTTCTGAGAGCACATTATTATTAGATATTATTTGCACTAAACTTGTTTCTCTATCGAACATAAGAAAGAAAAAAATTTACGATGTTACATAAAATAAAAGAAGGTATATATATATATATATATAT